AGGGTCCAGCTTAGGGCTCCTGTCCTGCGGACACCTTCTGCAGCCCCCCAGCGTTGGGTCAAGTTCTCCACAGCAGCCCCGGCCCGTTTCTTCCCCCATGTGGTCCTCATCACATGTACATTGTCACCAGGTGCTTTGCCTGTTTCCCGGGAGACTGGACACCTAAACCGCGTTTTGGAAATCCCTCCCACCATCTCAAGCGGTGCTGAGACACCACGCTGCATTCACAGCACAGTGCGTTCCTGTGACCTCCGCGGGCCATGGTTAGCCCACAGGCTACTCACAGAAAGTGACAGGCCGTGTTCCGAAACTCTTCAAGCAGTCTGACGTGGCTGTGGCCCTTCATGAGATTTTATATTTTACGAAAGTGTCCGTCAATAAAGGATTCGTCCTGCACCACCGGGGCACTGGCGCAAGGTGCCCTGATCCCTGAGAACCCGCGTCTGCACAGTCAGCACTCTCCCCACTGTCTGTCATCTGCTGTGCCCTGTCAGGCTGCTGTGCCTTTCTTCGCAGTGTCTCTGTTTGGGGAAGAATTTTGTCAAAACTCTGCAGATTTTCTTTTCTTTCTTTCTTTTTTTTTTTTTTCAAGACAGAATCTTGCTCTGTCTCCCAGGCTGGAGTGCAGTGGCGCGATCTTGGCTCACCACAACCTCCACCTCCTAGGTTCATGCAATTCTTCTGCCTCAGCCTCCCAAGTAGCTGGGATTACAGGCACCCACCACCACACCCAGCTAATTTTTTGTACTTTTAGTAGATTTTTAGTAGAGACAGGGTTTCACCGTGTTGACCAGGCTGGTCTCAATCTCCCAACCTCAGGTGATTCGCCTGCCTCGGCCCCCGCAAAGTGCTGGGATTACAGGTGTGAGCCACCACGCCTGGCCAACTCTGCAGATTTTCTTTCAGGCATCTTAAGCGAGTGGCAAGAGTTATTCTGTGGCTAAGTGTGTAGTTTTGTGTTCGTGAAGATGGTCATGCATGGGTTTTGTGCCAGTTTAAATGCTGGCTCATATATTTGTTGGTGTTTAGTCAGGCAGATTCCAAGAATTGCCCGTAAACTAAATTGCCACTTCCGGTATTGCCAGCGCTTTGTTTTCCACATATGAGTCATGTGAGGATCGTAAGGGATGGAGATGTTCTAGAAGGCGGGGGTTGCAAGGATTTGGAATTGTATTCAGTGACAAATGGACTTCTTTCTGAATTCTCATGTAAGGTGGAGATCGCCATAGTTGACCTGTCCTGGAGGTGGGCACGTGTCCTCCTGAGGAATTGATGCCGTAACATGGTTCATCCATGGGGTTCCTTTGTCAGCCCAAGCCCATGTGCCTCCCAGCAAAGGTCACTGTTTTTTAGTCTTTAAGTGTCATTATCCCCAAGTGAGGGACGGGGGTAGACCTGTTAGGCCGAAGGCGGGCCATGATGGGAACCTTTTCCTTGGTGGAGGGCGGGCCCCCAAGAGCAGCTGGGTCTGACAGGACATTGTTTTGGAGTCTTGCGAGTCTGGAGGGGGGACGCCTGACAGGGAGCCCCCAGGTGGAGTACTGCATGCTCAGGCAGGCGAGCTCTGCAAGGACCTTTGGCCAGACCCAAGCAGAGCTAAGCTGGATTAGGGTGGGGAGCTGGGCAGGCAGGCAGGGAAGTGGGTGGGCATGCAGGTGCCTGGGACCCCACTCAGCTCACAGAGATACTTTCCCGGTGAGAGCAGGAGTCACCTCAGGCCTCCTCTCCTTCTGTTATCTGCTAGTGTGTAATAAATATCCACAATTCAGCGGCTTAGGATAACACATAGTTATGATCTCACAGTTTCTGTGGTCAGGAGTCTGGGCACAATGGCCAAGCGCAGTGGCTCATGCTGGTAATCCCAGCAGTTTGGGAGGCTGAGGCAGGCGAATGGCATGAACCCAGGAGTTTGAGACCAGCCTGGGCAATGTGGCAAAACCCTGTCTCTATAAAAACTACAAAAATTAGCCGGGTGTGGTGGCACCTGCCCTGTAGTGCCAGCTACTCGGGAGGCTGAGATGGGAGAATCACTTGAACCTGGGAGGCGGAGGTTGCAGTGAGCTGTGATCACGCCACTCCAGCCTGGGTGACAGAGGGAGACCCTGTCTCAAAAAAAAAAAAAAAAAAAAAAAAAAAGAGCCTGGACTCAGCCCCACTGGGTCCTGTGTTCAGGTCTCACAAGGCTACAACCAAGGTGTTGACCACTCTGGGGTCTTTCTGGAGTTTGGGCCCCTCTTCTGAGCCACATTTTTGTTGGAAGAATTCAGTTCCTTGTGGTTGTAGGACTGAGGTCACTGTTCTGCTGGTGTCAGTCAGCCAGGGGCTGCTCTCAGCTCGTCGAGGTCCCTCCCACCGGGCAGCTTGCTTTCTCAAAGCCAGCAAGGACACTCTAACTTCTAGACCGTCTTTAAAAGGGCTCTCCTGATTAGGGCAGGCCCACAGGATAATCTCTCTTTTGAGCAAGGCAGTCAACTGATGAAGGATCTTAATTATTTTTTAATACTCTTTGCCACGTAATACAGCCTCATTACAGTGGTGTCATCCATGATGTCCATGGTCCCACACACTCAGTGGGAGAGGGGTATGCAAGGCAGGTACACTGGTGGTGAGAGTCTTGGGGACCAGCCCACAATTCCACGGTCCCACACAGTGGGAGAGGGCTACGCAGGGCGTGTACACCAGAGTCTTGGAGACCAACCCAGAATTCGGTCGACTGCCCTTGTCTCTCCCTCTGTTCCCTTCTGGTGCCCTTCTTTCCCCCAACTCTTTCCTCTTTCTTACATCTCACCCCTCTGCTCCCCTTCTTCTTTCTGTATGGCCTCCCTTCTCTTTTCCTAGCCCCTCCTCTCTGTTCCCCCAGCCCCCAGCCCCCAAGCTGGTGGGCTATGGCTGCTTTGAAACCTCATACCTGCTCTGAACTGACTTAGAAACTGAGCCAATGGCACAGAGCCACCTGCCTTACTAGGAAGGGCTGCCCTTGGTGTGGCCTCGGTCACTTTGCTGGCCCATTGGTAGGGCTGTAGGACGTCACTCTAATGCCTTTCCTTCTCTGTCTCCTTCCTCTTTGCTAGATCTTTGTATAGACCCAAGAGGCCTTTCTTTTGTTTAAGACAGGATCTCACTCTGCCACCCAGGCTGGAATGCAGTGGCATAATCACAGCTCACTACAACCTCAACTTCCCAGGCTCCAGTGATCCTCCCACCTCAGCCTCCCAAGTAGCTGGGACCACGGGTGTGTGCTACCACACCTGGCTAATTTTTGTATTGTTGGTAGAGACAGGGTTTTACCATGTTACCCAGGCTGGTCTCGAATTCTTGACCTCAAGAGATCCACCTGCCTGCCATGGCCTCCCAAAGTGCTAGGATTCCAGGCCTGAGCCACCATGCCTAGCCTGGCCCCAATAGGCCCTTCACACCATGTATTATGGTCTTGGAAATTGAAAATGGCAACAAGGTATCAAACTCTTGATGCAATTGTGATTTTTGACACCCCTTGATTTGAAAGACATGGGGTGGGTTGATAAAGGAGCCAAGCGAATAGAACAGATTCCTCATGAGGACACAAGCCAGGCAATCTCAAGACGACAGATCAAGTATGGCCAGTTTGCAACTTAGATTAAAATTGAGAAAGAAGATACATCTGTAATATAGTGTAAGTCTAGGATGGGAGAGATGGATGTCCCTGTCAGGACCACCCCCATGCCAGGAGCTTGCTAGCCACCTCGCAAGTCTCATTTTAATATTATCTAGGAGCCAGTTGTGGTGGTGCAAACCTGTAGTCCCAGCTACTCAGAAGGCTGAGGCAGGTTGCTAGAACCCAGGAGTTCCTGGCTTCAGTGAGCTGTGATCACACCTGTGAATACACACACACTGCACTTCAGCCTGGGCGACAGAACAAGACCCCATCCCCAAAGGAAAAAAAAAAAAGGAAGAAAAAAAGGAAAACATTATGCAAGACGTCTGAAAACTGTGTTTATAGAACCATTGGTGGAAGGATTACAGACGTATTCTCAAAAAAACTTAAGTAGAAAGAGGGTGGGGTTTATTTGATACCAGAAAACCTACGTTCAGTAACACTTATGCCGTCAGGCTTACTGGGTTGTTGTATCACATGAAACGGTGAATACGCATGTGGTTTGTAAAATGTTTTGTAAGTCATTTGTAGAAACAGTTCAGATGCCAAGCTCGATAGTATCATGTCCATTCCTGCTCAAGCATTTGAAACGTTCTCATGGAGCAGAATGTGGCAGAACAGCTACAAGTTGAAAAATACTTATATGGAGGCTAATTTTTTAGTGCAAGGAAGGACTACCAACAGCTAGAAGCATTCTGCTGTGATCTACATTGTGTTGGGAAAAGACGGACTCCTGGCACGGCTGTGTTGAAGCGGAAGCTGAGAGTGCGTGTGTGCTGAGAAGTGACTGGATGGGAGTTCGCTGGGATTACAGTCCCAGCTCCATGCCAGCCAGCCCTATGACCTCAGATGGGTCTGGCAGCTTCTCCAGGCCTCCACTTTCTGCTCTGTAAAGCGAGGGATTGAACTGGAAACCTGGAGTAGCATCCAGCTGTTAACACTCCGCTCCATGCGTCTGTCAGAGCTCCAGAGGGAGGCTGACTTGCCCAGCCCTGCCACTTACAGGCTGTGTGACCTCAGGCAAGTTACTTACCCTCTCTATGCCTTAGTTCCCTCATATTTAAACTGGGGATGGTAACAGTCTCTGCCTAATGAGGCTATTTCAGGGAGTACATGGCATCATATCCATAAAGCTCTTAGAATAGTTCCTGCCTAGCATGTGGTAAGGGCTTGATAAATGGTAGCAGTTCTTATAAGGACTATTTCTGTTGCTCGTGACCACCCTTTTACTCTATTAGTCTGGAATTTATTGCTGTATATCTGTTAAACTCTGAACAAGATTTTCTTTCCGCATCATCACTGCTGACCCTCCACTGGGAAGGTGCCCGCTGCTCTGTCCTCTAATAAGATATTCTGTCTGTTTCAGGCAGAGGCCCGGCTCGCTGCAAAACGGGCGGCCCGCGCGGAGGCTCGTGAGATCCGCATGAAGGAGCTGGAGCGGCAGCAGAAGGAGGTAACATCTGGGACTCCTCGTTGGGTCTTTTCACAGTGATTTGTGTTCTGGGCCCAGTGTGCAAGGGCAGGCACCTGTTGCTGCAGACGCACCTGACTGGCTCACGTTGCTCATGGTCGGAGTGCGTTTGTGCCTGACTTCTGCACAAGGTCAGGCCGGGAGTGCACATAGCACGGATATCAGGCATGCCTGCTCAGACCTGCTGGCTCCTGAGAGGGGCTTAGAAGCCTCTTGCCTGTGAAGATCGTCGTTTCCAGCTGCAAGGAGCCAAAATGTTCAGGGTCTGAGCTTTAAGTTCTAACTGTCGTACTAGAATCTGGATTCTCTGGATTAAAGTAGAAAAGAAGAATGGATTAATGAGTTTTTAAACTGGCCAGATTGTTTTGTTTAAAAATACGTCCCCCGTGGTCTGTACAGTGTCGGTCACACACGGGCTGCAGGTTTCAGGATATCTAGAGCTCCTGTGTGATAGAGAGACAGGAATGAACACATGGATGCAGCAGGCAGGGAAGAAATTCCTCCCTGGGAAAATGGCTAGCAATGTGTTGACACACCTGCTCAAGCCATTTGCAAGTTATTTTCATCATCTGGAGCTGGAGCTGGGAGTCATTTCCGACAGCATGAGGGTTCTTTAACTCACAGTTATGGTGTGACCTTTTCTCTGACCTCAGAGACATAGAAGCTGAGACCCCACTCAGTCCATGTTCTCCCGTGGGCCATGCCCTGGGGCCAAGGGACCGTCCACACTCGAGCCCACCCCCAAGGGCTTTTCTTCTTAAGAAGATTTGAATGTATTTTGTTAGACAGGAGTAACCAGCTGCCTTCCCCAGGGTTGATTTTCTTGTTTGGCTTACATAGCCAAATGTAAAAAGGCGAGCCAGTGTTTAAAACCAGTAAGATTTCCAATAAAAACCTGAATTTCTAGATTCTCTTACGGTGGTTGTAGATTCCGCCACATTCCCAGCAAAGACCAAGCTGGCCACATTCTCTGCAGGGTTGGGGCCCTGCCACCGGTCTAACGTGCTCATTGCCCTCTGCTGCTAGGAGGTTGCCGCTCCGTGTAGAAACCTGCATGCAGAGGCTGGGCAGTGTCACCGAGCCCTGGGAACCATCTTGCACACTCAAGCTCTGGTATCCTTAGTGGTGCCAGAGGCCACCTGAAGGAATAGTGCTTTTATTCTGAACTGGTTTTTAAATATGTATATGTATAATTTTTTTTTTTTTTTTTTTCTGAACTGGTTTTTAAATATGTATATGTATAATTTTTTTTTTTTTTTTTTGAGATAAAGTCTTGCTCTGTTGTTTTTTTTTTTTTTTTTTTGAGATCAAGTCTTGCTCTGTTGCCCAGGCTGGAGTACAGTGACATAAGCTCCGCTCACTGCAACCTCTGCCTCCAGATTCAAGCGATTGTCATGTCTTAGCCTTCCGAGTAGCTGGGATTATAGGTGCGTACCACCATGCCTGGCTAATTTTTGTATTTTTAATAGAGACGGGGTTTCGCCATGTTGGCCAGACTGGTCTCCAACTCCTGATCTCAAGTGATCCTCCTGCCTTGACCTCCTGGCCTCCCAAAGTGCTAGGATTACAGGCGTGAGCCACCACACCTGGCTTAAATATATATATATTTTAAATGACAATTTCAAGTGCTTTTTCACACTGCCCAGTATCAGTGTCTCTGTAGAAATGTCTGTTCACACCTCAGTGGACACTTTCAAGCTCCTTGTGTGCAGGACACTGCTGGCCCGTTCCATCTGTTTTAGAAACCTAACGGCAGCAGGTGGGCAAGGTGGTTAATTTTGCGGGCAGTGGCCCCTGTTTCTTAGGACACACCACTGTGTGAGCGGACGGCTGCCTCTTTCTCCAGAGCCAGAAGCCACCCCCTCAGGCTAATGCTGGCGTTCTGAGGCTTATCCGACTTGAATTCACTTTGCCTGGCTCCCCAATAGGACCTCAGTCTTTGTTTTTTATTAAGGCTGTAAAAGAGTTATAAAAAGAATTTCCCAAAATATTTTGTTGTTCTGGCAGGTTTTGCACGGTTGATGGGATTTTAAGGCCCCCTGCCCTGTTCCTAGTTCCCGTGTCTTAGCTCTGTTGTTACAGCAGAGCCAAGGGCCCAAAGGATGCAGATGGCCGTGAAGCTGTGAGTGGGCCCTACTTGGCCTTCATGATAGCATCTGTCATCCTTTCTTCATCTTTCTCTTGTACAGTAGATGTAACGAAAGTTACTTTCATCAAGAATACAAACCTAGGATTTCTACAAAATCTAGGTGAAAAAAGAATTATATAGTATGTACATACATCTTCCAAATTAAACATTTAGATAAAAATATATTGTATCTTTTTTTGAGACAGAATCTTGCTCTGTCGCCCAGGCTGGAGTGTAGTGGCACGATCTTGGCTCACTGCAACCTCCTCCTCCTGGGTTCAAGCGATTCTCCTGCCTCAGCATCCTGAGTAGCTGGGACTACAGGTGCCGGCCACCATGCCCGGCTAATTTTTTGTATTTTTAGTAGAGATGGGGTTTCACCATGTTGGCCAGGATGGTCTCTAACTCCTGACCTCTTGATCTGCCTGTTTCAGCCTCCCAAAGTGTTGGGACTACAGGCGTTAACCATCGCACCTGCCCCATATTATATCCTTAATTATGGATAGAATTGATTTAAATATATACATATTGATATAAGCAGCTTGTTACAAAGTTGTTGGGCAAAAGTTCTTGATTTAAAAAATAACTAAGATGAATTAAGGCAAGCATCATCTATGTGAATGGCCTCCTTTAAAAGCAAAGCATCCCTTTATTCCTTTGATTCAAAGGAAGCCCTTTTCTGTTGCATTTTAATTGTACAACGTAAGGGCAATCTGTTGCTGGACTCCCGCATCTCTGCTGTAATATTCCAAGCCACGCGAGAAGAAAAATAAAAAATAAGCCGGGCGTGGTAGCATGCACCTGTAGTCCCAGCTACTCAGGACACTGAGGCCGGAGCATTGCTTGAGCCCAGGAGCCTGAAGCAATGATCGGGCCGTGATTGTCCCTGTGCGTAGCCGCTGCACTCCCGCTGGGGCAACATAATGAGACCCCCATCTCTTTCAAAAAGTCAAAAAATAAAAAGTAGTTGCTACTCCAGGTGGGAAACCAAGTCTTGGGCATTTAATTTTAGTATCGTAAAAAGGGGGTGCAGAGCAGCCCTCGCTGATGCCTCTGATGAGCACGGGCCTTGCAGAGAACATCTGATGAAATCTGATGTAAAACTCCATGGTTTGGCCTCTTCAGCACGTGTACAGATGTCATTGGCTTAGTAGATCGCGTTCAGATTTTGAAATTCTTCTCCCTGCAGCATGGTTTTATCATAAAGATATTTCAGGGGGCCACAGGGGTCAAAATATCTCATCCTGTTGCAAATTCGGTGGAACGCCCTCCACCAAGAGTGGTGGTTTTGGTCTGTGCTCTCAGACAGCAGGGACCAGAGGAGGGGATGGTGTCCCTTGCAGGCAGCACCTTTGGCCAGCGTTACCTTTTGCACGGTCCTGTGTGGATCTGCAGTCTCAGCTTCCTCATCACTGATGCCTGCACTTCTGCCCTCACAACTGTGGCTTGCGGCTATGACACAGGGCGGGCGTCGTGGGCGTGGCTGCAGACTCCTGCCTGGGGCTGGTCACGGACCAGGACCCAGAGCCACCCAAATTTACCAGGTTGTGGAACGAGAGCCTGGGAAGGTGGGAGACGTGTCAGGAGGGGCAGAGAAATGAACGTGGCCAAGATGGTGAGTGAGGACATGGAGTGAAGCAGCTCTACGGAGGAGAAAGCCACTCTTTGTGGCAGCAGAGGATGGATGTGACAGACAGGAAGCTGCCCTGGGAGACGAGAGCCAGACGAGGAAGGGCCGGCCCAGTCAGCCCAGCGCAGCACGCGTTCCTAACGACGGCAACAGTGCCTTCATGAATTTAGGGCCTTTGCAAGGTGATGACATTCTTGTTTAAAGTTTATGTCTGCTTCTTCAAAAGAAGGATTGAAAGATCTTAAATAAGATAGATGTGTATTTTGTTACTAGTCAGAGAAGCCTGGGATTGGGGTCATCTCAGGGACCCTGCCGTGCAGCAGAGGTGGGCTTGGGGCTGTCACCTACCGTCGGTGGCGGGCATCTTCCCGAACTTTACAGGTGAGGAAAACAGGCCTTAGGGGGAGACACAGTTTTCCCTGAATCCAAGAAAATGGCCAAGCCAAGGTTCAAACCGGGTTTGACAAGATGCAAAGCCTGTGGTCTTCCTAGCACACCCCTTTGTCTCGAAATCAGTTCTGCAGCCAACAATAAAAACAAGTAAGAGTGGAGGATGGAGTGAGTCCGTGGACCATGGGGTTGAAGTTCACGCTGAGGATGCTGGCACCCACAGCAGAGGGGGAAATAGAATGATCCACATAATCCTAGTCACTTTCCAAGTGGAAGCATGCCTTGAAAAATAAAGTTCTCCTTGGTGCGGAATTTGCGGCACAGGAATATGAAACATAAAATAGACAATTTTGTTAGAATTTTCTATAAATACAGAATCAGTAGCCGTTCACCTAGCTGTGTTTTTATGTGATCCAGAGGGTGGGGCAGAGGCCAGGAGGGGTGTACCCATGTGTGCGCGCACGCATTCGTGTGTGCATGTGTGTGTATGTGCACTCACACACATGAGCATCTGTGTATGCATCCAGAGGGAAGAGGGAGTCGAGCTAGTGGGGTCTGAGCTTGCACGTCTTCGGGCCATCTTCGGGCGGTGCCTGGAGGATTTAGGAAGGTGCCTCACACTCTTCTTTGCATATCAAGTCTCTGGGCCTGGCTATTATTAGAACCAGTTAACACAATTGGAGGTTATACAATCTGGTAGCTTGGGGCACTGGCATTTTAAGTTGTTGATTAAGGGGAAATGAATACGTTTTGGAAGACCAGTGTTTAAAGGGTAGGGTTGATACTTTGGTATAAAAATTGAGAAACCTGATCCCGGTTTTCATGTGGGTCAAAAGCCATCTCCCCTGCATGCAGGCGTTTCTGAGCAGGCTCAGGGTTTTCTTGAGGGGGCCGCTCTGAGAACACTGAGAAGGGCAGGAAGCTGACCGGGGTTGGTGTCCCCCAAGGGAAGCGTGGAGGTGGTTCTTTTCAGCACACAGACGGCGAGAACCCACCACAGCTTACTCTAGCTGCATTCCAGGGTCTGTTTAAAAGGATATGAGCTCTTTTTTAACGGATTTGTTAGGGGAGAATAATGTACATATTTTTGGGAAATTCAAGGGAACCTTAAACTTCTTCGGGAAAACCTACACTGATAGAAAAAATGGTGATCGGGGTATCTCTTTTCTTGCTACTGACTTGATACACATTTTGGTTAGAGATGCTTTGTTTCTTACAGTCATATTGTTGGATATAGTCACATGTGTTCCCCCATATAAGACTAGAAATGCCAACGTCTTGGTCTCGCAGTTTTGGCAGTGCCTTCAATAGTGCCTGATATGACAAATGTCTTAATGAAGAATGAATGAAAATGAGTAGCTATCTCAGTTTTATCTAGTGATTACTACAAAATTAAGAGAAACCTCTGAAGCAAACGAATGTGTCAATGTATGATAATAACCTCTTTTAGGAAGATTTCTGTTACATTCTAATGAACACTCCATTTAGCTGGAATTTTCCTGTTACTCTGTATGTGTCTGTGTGAATCAGAACATCAAAGCCTCTTTCTTCATTATTTGTGAATTTGACCAGTTAACTTTCCAATTAAGTTTCTGCACTTTTTGGTTAAACTTTTATTACTGCAAAAGGAAATTTTGAATTAAAGATGAAGGAAGAACTTTTTCTTATTGATGGCAATAGGTGATACAGACTTCTGTATTAGAATAATAGCAGTATTTTTGGTAGAGATTCATGTGACTATGCCCCTATTTCCCCGATGTATCTAAAATGGAATGTAAAGTAAGTGATAAAATTACAAACTCTTGTCAGTGGGACCTCACGTGTTTTCTTATTCACATTTTACTGTTATTCATTGTGGCTTTGATTCATATGGGGAGAACCTTTCATTCTGATGTTACAGCTTCTTTAATTGGATTTTACATTTCTTTTTTCTTTTGTCCTTCTCTATAGATCTATCAGGTCCAAAAGGTAGGCTCTTCTTTATTTTCTAACTTGCATGTACTGTTTTTTCCTTGCCAAGGGCCTGGTCACCTTTCAGAAATAACACCTTGCACTGAAGATACATAGACGTTCTTACTGTTTGTTTTACTACTTTGTGTATGAATTTGTTTGAACATTCTGCCTAGATCCTCATCCTGCCCCACTCAAAGCCACAGTCAGACACATTTCTGTGTGCTGAATGCTTTTCTCATCTGCATTCTCCTCAAGAAATTTAAAAATTGTTTCTTTAAGAAGAAAAGTAATTGTAAGGCAAAATAAAATTATATTTTAGAATTTGGATAGCCTTCTGAAATTATGTATTGAAAGAAAAAGATGATTTTATTAGAAAACTTAAAAAATCCATGCAGATTACCACATATTGAGAGAGTATTAGATATTGACCTAAAAATCTGAGTAAAAAGACAGTGATGATATAAAATAAACCTGCCATTCATCCCTAATGCTCAGAGATCATAAAATAATGTGCCTCTCTATTTCCTAATATTTTGTAGAAGCAGCTGAGGTTCAGAAGTAAATACACTGGGCAGGCCGGACACAGAAAATAAAGACAACCAAGTCAGTGATTCAAGATCTAGCAAAAATGAAGTCAGAAGTGAGCGAGTTCCTTGAGAATTTATAGAATTTGTATACAAGGGAATCTTTCCCATAAATGAATTTAGTTTGATACTTACAACATCTGTGATAGTTCCCTTTTATAAATTTATTTAGTTTCTAGATGAACAACAACTGTATTTTTCTCTTAGAGCGGATGAGAAAATCAGAATAAGATCACTTAATTTCGGAGGTTAGAGCACACAGGCCCTCGGAATGCACGGGCGGTAAATTTAAGACCTGTTGTGTTGGATTCCTGTGCTGGCCATCAGAACGAATCGCCTTCCCCGCGGGCGCCCTGCACTCTGCATAGCTGCTGTCCCGAAGAGTGCAAAGAAATTTGTTAAGTAGATGCCAGAATCTCTTGTGCTTGGCTAGTGTTTCCAGGGCCCAAGTGTAGAAGTGGATATTGCAGCTGGCGTTCCTCGTCGTCCTCAGAGAGCCTCGGGAAGAACTGGACAGGTGCAAGGCCAGGCGGGGAGCCCTGCCTGTGACTGACAGCAGGACGCTGCCATCCAGAACCTGGAAGAGGGGCTCTGTCTGGTCGTTTCCACTCGCATTCATGCCTTTCTTTTGCTAGGTCAGGTTAGTTTCTTTTCACTAACGTGCCAGGGATACATTGTGAAAACTTTTGTCAGAATGAATTTGTGTAGAATGTAAAGCTAGAAGGAGCCCCGGAAATCCGCAGTGGAGGAGCAGAGGCACAGTCTTGTGGTAAAGGTGTGCCCAGGGAAGGGAAGGCTTTCCTCATCGCTGAGATGTCTGGGGAGGAGAGGAGGCGGCGATTGCGCCTCCGGCCCAGCCAACTGCTTTGCGGAACAGTTTCTCTGGGATCAAAGCTATTTCTGAAAGTAGTGCGGCTCCTGCTTCCCTCCGCATGGCTTCCGGCTCATGGTAGTGATTGACACTTGAAATGTTTGCCCTTCCTGCCATGTGCTAGTGCTGCTGGCTAACCCAGGAACTACTAGTTAATTGCACTTGCTGTTACTAGGGGCGTTCTCTGCCCAGGAATGACATGAAATGCAGTTACAGTAGACACTTAGAAGACCACCCTGGCCGGGCGCGGTGGCTCACGCCTGTAATCCCAGCACTTTGGGAGGCCGAGGCGGGCGGATCACGAGGTCAGGAGATCGAGACCACCCCGGCTAATACGGTGAAACCCCGTCTCTACTAAAAATACAAAAAAAAAAAAAAAAAAATTAGCCCGGCGTTATGGCGGGCACCTGTAGTCCCAGCTACTCAGAAGGCTGAGGCAGGAGAATGGCGTGAACCCAGGTGGTGGAGCTTGCAGTGAGCCGAGATTGCGCCACTGCACTCCAGCCTGGGCGACAGAGCGAGACTCCCTCTCAATAAAAAAAAAAAAAAAAAAAGACCACTCATGAACAAGGTGAATGATTTTCAATGCCAGTTCTTCATCATGAAAAGAGCAAGATAAGAGTGTGCAGATACAATGGGCAAAAAGAAATCTATGAAAACAGAAAAACTGACAATACAGATTTCTTTTGGAATTTAAATAATTTTATTGTGAATTTATATAGCCCTCATCCTTCTAAAAACGTATTTTGCTTCCCTCTTTCTAGTTGAGCCAAGATAGGGAGGAGCGATGGCATCATATTTTACTTGTGAAAAATCTGGAACTTGACAGGTGCTAACATTAATTGAATGCAAAATAGCTTTAAGCTGATGCATTTCCCTGACACTGAAGTTAAGACATGACTTTAGGATATATTTGCTTTTATTTCCTTTCTGAATTTATGTTCCAAGGGAATAACTTACAGAAAAAGATATGGTTCATGTCCTTTTTATAGTAGAGTTCAGTATTATTGAATTTTAAAAAGCATTTTAAATTCTCCCTCCTAATTTTTGCTCTTCCAATTTTCTACTTACCATCATCTCTAAGAGAAAGAGGTAAGACCATCTGAGAACTGCATATTTTTAAATCTGACCACACTTTGAAATGAAACTAAACCAAACATAGCAACAGCATGTTTTGGTTATTGTAAAATAATTTCAAAAATGGTCTTATATGTCTAGCATCTGATTTTTTCTCTTGATTATCAGATTTTAATGTATAAAAAGAAAATTCGCATCTGTGTTATAATATGGAAGTTTGGTTAGTTGTTTCTTGATTTTCTTACTGGAAATTAAATAAAAAGCAGAAAAGCAAAACGCCATTATTTGGGCCCATGACCTGGGTTCCCACCTACCTTTGGGATTCCCCAATTCAGTGACAGCAGTAGCCGTTCTGAGTCTGCTTTTCTCATTTTAACTTGGACCACTGAACAAGATAAAAACATGGAAGTATAAACTAAAGCAAACTTGTCCAACCCGTGGGCCACATGCGGCCCAAGACGGCTGTGAGTGCAGCTGAACACAAATTCGTAAACTTTTTAAAAATATTATGAAATGTTTTTTGCAAATTTTTTTTTAGCTCATCAGCTATCGTTAGTGTATTTTTTGTGTAGCCCAAGAATCTTCTTTCAGTGTGGTCCAGGGAAGCCAAAAGATTGGACATCTCTGAGCTAACGTCATCTCCAGACATGTAACTTGTGGGTCTGCATATTTTTCTTCTGTACAAAGACCTCTTCTGTGGGTGGCAGTCATCTCTCCATCCATGCTACAAAGACATCAAAGTCTGAATTCTCATGGGCCTAGACTCAGCATAGACATCAGGCAGCTAGAACAAGTGTCAGCACACAGTTTCTCCCCTTCTTCTCTCCGTTTCCCTGAGGTCCCAACACAGGAATGGCTCTGAGCTTCTGCTTCTCTTAGATGGTGTTTTATTCCTTCATCGTGTTTGCTTTGAAGGCATGAGCAGCCTGACCGAGGGGGCGTGAAGGCTGCTGGGCCGGCTTTACTGTCTTGCTCTCCGCCGAGGCCCTTCACCCGGGGAAGCTTCGTCCTGGGCTCTCTTGCTTTGCCGGGATGGAATGGGCGGGGAGGGTCTCTCTTCACAGCTCACAGCCTGCATGACTGCACGGGTGGCGGCTCCCTGCGTAGAAGCCAAGTGTGTTGCTGACTGCTTTGCCTTGGCGTGTTACCTTCACCACGCGGCTGGACGGCGGTTTGGAAATGCATGTCGGAACAGTGCCTTAGACAACTGCCTTTTTAAGAAATTTCACTTCTTGCCTAATTTTTTTCCCCTTCTGTCTATAGAAATATTATGGGCTGGATACAAAATGGGGTGACATCGAGCAGTGGATGGTAGGCCTTGAATATAATTTTGTTTTTACTCTTCCCTCCCCACTTAAATACAATGTTGAGACTTAAATGGTTTATAATGTAATTCTTACGTAGTTTAACTATGTAGATAGATTCCTATTGCACCATAATTTAATACTGAGAGATTTTCTTCCGGGGATTTCTGCATCTGGTCTCTGATTGTTTACATCCCCAAATGCAGCCTGCTTAGAAACAGTCCTGGTCTTGCCTGTTCAGTAGCCACTGACTGCTGATGTCTCCTGGCCAGCGGTTTGGGGAGGTCTCCACTACCACAGCCACCCTGATCTCCTTGAGCACAGGGCCCTCCACCAGGGCTCAGGCTGGGCATGTGCCCCTGGCTTGAGAACTTTCCAGAGAACATTCCCATTGTCATCGCAGCTCACCAGGCTCTGGTTGGAACCTGAGAGGTATATTATGCTCCATTTCCTTCACTCATGATTGCGACCAGCTGCCCCATCACCCTCATTTAGACTTTATCTGCATTTGCTGTTGGGTTCTCTCTTCATCTTGTCCGCTGTGCCTGCTGAAACCACTGGTCTTTGGTAAGAAAATTCCTTTACCTTCTCAACCTGCTTCCTAGAACAACCCCTCTGCCATCCTGTGAATGGAGAGCTAGCTCGCCCCGATGACATTCCTGTCTTTCTGGCTTTCTCGGGAAGCAGCAGCGCCCACATAGGGAGGCTGCAGAAGCGGGATAATCTGTGTGCTTTCCACTGGTCCCGAGAGAGCATGGCCTGGCCCTTCTCGTTAGTTCATCTACCTGAGTCCTTCCACCTCTTCCTGTCCCTTTTGCTTTATTGCCTGGCCCCGTGGACTTCATCACATGCTTGTAGCATTTGAGAACCTGGTTAGGATAGAAATGTCCTATTAAATGTTTCTTATACATAAAATTATCTGAGGAAAATCCAAAATTATTTCCTAACATCTTACATACTGGGTATAAAAGAGGTTATCTCTTCAAATATAAAGAGCACACACTTACTCTTTCGGAAATATGATTACATTCAGCCTAGGCAAACCATCATTTTAGGCTTACATGAGATAAATATATTTTTGTTAAACCTTAAGACATTTTTGTCCACAGGCATGGTGATATAAGAAAGAGAAAAAAAGAAAAGAAAAATTTAAAAAATCTTAAGACATTCTTTGAAGTTGTATCGTTGTTTTATATACCACTGAGAAAGAAAACAATGCTAATTATAACTGAACAACTTGGATTATAAGATACATCCCAGCTTCAGAGATGTCTAAGTGTGAAAAACCACGTGTGTCTTAGAATCCACGATATATAGTAGAAAGAGTGACATCCTTTTCGGATATTTTGTGGAAATGATTTATCTTCTGATTCCTGAAGAGAGTAAGGTTCTGAAAGTAAGGGGAAAAGTAGATTGATTTAAATGGACCAGATGATAGAGGTTAGAAAAAATTAAGGCCCAGCTTCTGCCCCAAACACTGTTTTTACAACAAAAATGAAGTATCCCAATTATTTTTGTGCTTAAGAACCTCTCACCCCAGAAAAAAACGTTTTTACCCACTGGTTTAATTGAAGCCTTTAAACGAAGAAGGAGAAAATATTTATTTGACATTTAGATCAGAACTGCTGTATTATGTTGCAATGGGACTACCTAAGCTTTTTTAAAGCACTTTTCCTGTGTCCATCTGTCTCTAACCTTTTCATACTGTTTCCTCCATTATTTTGGTAGGAAGACAGTGAGCGCTACTCTCGTAGATCCAGAAGAAACACATCGGTTAGTACCGTATTCATTAATTACTTAGGCAATTTGATTGAATTCTAATTTATACTTGTAGTGGCTGAAGTATATGTAATATATATAATATCTTAATGATGATATCATCTCTTAAAGAAATTAACTAACACTATTGATGATGGAATACTGATATTATTACCTAAATAAAGACTGTGAACTCAGCTTTTAGCATTTTGACCTAAATTTGGTAAGGAGAGTGTGTTTGAGAAATTTTTGAGTATTAATATATTCATAACAACTGTAGTGCTTTTTGTGCCACTGAATACCCATAAATAATTTGCATAGTAATATACACCAATGCTGTGTATTTATATTACTGGTGAGATAAACTACTTGGATGAAATTACTTTTTTTTTTTTTTTTGAAACAGAGTCTCACTCTGTCACCCAGGCTAGAGTACAGTGGTGCAATTTTGGCTCACTACGACCTCGACCTCCCAGATTCAATGATTCTCATGTCTCAGCCTCCCAAGTAGCGGGATTACAGGCACACGCCACCACACCCAACTAATTTTTGTATTTTTGGTAGAGATGGAGTTTTCCCATGTTGCCCAATCTGGTCTCGAACTCCTGGGCTCAAGTGATCTGCCCACCTCAGCCTCCCAAAGTGCTGGGATTACAGGCATGAGCCACCGTGCCTGGCCCTGAAATTACTTTTTTTTTTTTGAGACAGAGTCTTGCTCTGTTGCACAGGCTGGAGTGTAGCGGCACAATCTTGGCTCACTGCAACCTCTGCCTTGTGGGTTCAAGTGATTCTCATGCCTCAGCCTCCTGAGTACCTGGGATTACAGGCATGTACCATGACATCCAGCTAATTTTTGTATTTTTAGTAGAGACAGGGTTTCGCCATGTTGGCCAGGCTGGTCTCAAACTCCTGACCTCAAGTGATCTGCCCGCCTTGGCCTCCCAAAGTGCTGGGATTACAGGCGTGAGCCACCGCACATGGCCCTGAAATTACTGTAAATCCGTATTGCCCATAAGCAGACAGAGATCCACAAAGGCCATGTTGTGGGGGACCTAGACTGGTGTCCACTGAGATGTCCAGGGGCGGCTGACCCCCCCACTGCTGGGAGTGGGATCAGTTCCCAGCGTCCCTCTAAGACTTGGGCACTGGTTCTTCACATATGTTGTATGATTACTTCACAGTTGTTCTCGTCCTTTCTTTTAATAGGCTTCTGATGAAGACGAACGCTTGTCAGTGGGTAGTCGTGGAAGCCTGAGGGTCAGTAACCAGAATGATGGAGTTTGCATGGCACAGTTCCTGGTCCAAGCCCTTTACTTTCTCATCCCTGCATTCTGATTTCTTCTCCATTATCCCCGTGGTCTGATAGTCAATACTTAACTGATGAGATGCTTTCCTTAAAATCAAATCAGTGGGGGATGTTTCTTTGTTGCTGTAGAGAGATTTTTAATATGCATAGGCACGTTGGTTGTTTCTTTCTCCCGAGATGATGATGTCTTTTTTTCAATACTTATCCACATCACAAAGCTCCCAAGCCTTGATTAGCACAGTGGTCTCAGCACATTGGTGTTCCACAGGAATGCAAAGGCACATCTGCCCTTCAGTAAGTCTGTATCCACTGACACACATGCTTCTGGTAAAATCGGAGCCTCTATTAAAGTAGCTGTAAGTTAATTATTATTGAGCAGTGTTTTCACACAGCTGCTATAGACAGCCTGCTGAAAACCTGGACCAGGATTGGATCCGTAAGATCTGCCTTCAGCCGCTTTTCCTTGTATCAGTTATAATTAGATCTCTTCACCTCTGATAGGCTTAATGATCAATCAACACAAATATGGACTTTTCCTTAAACATTCCAGAAACCTTAATAATTACACTTGAAAAAAGTATGAGTTTTGGGGGAAGTAAAGCAGAAAAACTATATTTTGCCCAGTGCTTTAAGTCAGTGGATTAATCTGAGCATGTCAGTTTCTTTTACCACAGGATTGAAATTATATCTCACCACTAGTAATAAATAAGTCTCAAAGCAGCCACTCCGTTTTATTAATCCTTAGGGACCCCATAGAGCTGAAGGTTTGTTTTACTTCACTGTGACAAGTAAATCCTATTACTCCTTGACTTTTACATGTGCTGAGTGTGTGTGTAATTTGGCCGTTTGTAATGATAAAATGCAGAGGTGAAACACGGTTGCTGCGCTGTGAAGCAACTCTTCCCTTGTCACTGTCCTTGCAGTGCCAGAAGCAGATCCGTAGTGATTTTGCCAAAAAGCTGTGGTTCAAATGTGAGGCCCACTTGAGGGCTTCCTTGCTGCTTAAAACCTTCTCCTGAGATGTAGCCTCAGGGATGCCGTTGTAACTGTTAACCTCAGGACCCTCTGACACCACTCACCCGGGAAGAGGGAAGATTTATGAACCCAAAATGTAACAAATTTTGGGTTCATAAATAATAAAACAAAGCTCAATTAACAAAGTCTGTAGACAAGGTCCAGACATCATAGCTGTTGAGCAGGCCCAGGAGAAGCTTGAGTCCTTGAAACCAGTGAAGAAAATGCTGTTTCAAGGATGAGGGAGAGTGACCAAGAGAGGAGAAAACTCAGACTTAGCAGCGTAGAGGATGTCGGTGACTTTGGCAGGAGAACTTTTAACAGAAATGTTGAGGGCAAAGCCTGGTTAATATGCGTTCAAGAGAGAATAGGAGGAGAGAGACACAGAATCCCAGACTCTCTCTCAAAATGCATCATTTTCAGAGCCACACCCTCCTGAAATTATAGGCAAGAGGTATGCACTTACATTTTCCTGGGAAAAGTATGTTCACTTTCTTAAGATTCTCAGAGGGTCTCCTGACCCCAAAGAGTTGAAAACAATTGCAATATGAATGAGTATGATGGTGTTATGTAACAGCATTCATTTCATTTTCAATGATTTTTAACCAGAAATAAGTTACATCTTTCTGCTGGATACCACTCTTTGCTAAGATATCAAGTATATTTGTTTTAAGAGCTGAAATTTCCTATGGGAGATTCATCATTAGGACAGTACCTAAGATGGGGAGGAAGTGGATGGGATTTTCATTTTCAGTCACATGACACTTTCCCATCATGTACTTGATCTAAAGAAATAGATTCCTCAGAACTTAAGAACTTGGATCCTGGAGATGAGAGTCAAACCTCCTAATGTCTATAGGCATCAAACAAGCCCAGAGTGGTGAGAGGCCTGCTTGGGGTCACAGTTCTTAGGAACAAGGCCAATGCCTGCTGCTCAGAGGCCTGGTGGCCTGCGTGCCCTCCATGTGCTGGGTGCCCTGGGCTCTATGCTTGCCCCTTTGTACCACCGAGCAGGGCACTCCCCAGAGTGAGGACTCTCATCTCGCTCTATTTCTATGCAGGATCAGTTTCTACTGTTTTTATGTATTTTAATATTATGAACTTTTTACATTGTTGATTCTAAGATCGTATCTTTTGTTTATTGACTCTGAAAACACAGGCCTTCTTCATTTAACTAGAAAAGATGATAAACCCTAAAAAAGGTGGGGAGGTGATTTATACTATTCTGGCATTTGTATGGATGTCTCCTCAGAAAATCTAGATTTTGGATTTTCTAGAATTTCTAGATTTTAGATTTTCTGGAAAAAATCTAGATTTTTAATTTTCCTTTTTGAAAAACTGACGACAATGCATCTGATAACCTTTTCCCTTATGTAACTAAAATGGATTATGCAGAAGAGGAAATAAGATTTATCAAACTGTTTCAGACTTCCTGAATTATAGCAACCTTTTCCATGGAAGTTTATTTAATACTACTGGATTCTATGGTAGCTACCATTCTGACATAATTCTTTTTGTAAGTACGTATTAGATCCTAGAGATTATGGAAAAATGTATTTTTGTTAAGATTTTAAAGATTGCTTGTATTTATGTTTTACTTAGCTTTTAAATTTACTTTTGGCAACTCTCTTTTCTGTTGTTGTTTTTTTCCTGCTATCTTTCTTCTGACAGTCGCAGCCTGACTTGGAGTATGGGGGTCCCTACGCCTGGGTGAGATGGTCGGATATACTTTGCTGTGTGACCTTAACTGTGTGGTGTGACATATAATAACCTATGCTATTTCCACGAATCTCATGGGTGCTTTTCTAAAAAACCAAGTACATCTTTGTCTCCAGTTTTTGCCTGGGGGGCTGTGAGGCCAGGAGGGCAGGCTTACCCTGCGGAGTGAGCAGTCTTCCTCCTGGGGCCTCCAGGGTGCAGCCCTGATCCTGCCGGAGGGGAGGAGCCCAGGCATCTATGCATGAACACTCCCTCACCAGATGGCCTTTGAGCACCAGCTGTTTGCCATGCCTTGTGTTAGCAGCTGTGTATACCAAGATGAAAAAGATAGTGTCTGCCTTCAAGGAATTCAAATCAGATCAAGAATTCCCAAAGCCTCTAAATTTCCTTTAAAAGATTAAATGTAAATTCATTTTACCTAATGAAAAATCCATTATTTTCCAATCTATATCCATTCAAATTAAATGTACAATCTGACTTTTTTGCCAGGAAATATTCTTTGAGAAAGCTCCCACTTCCAGTAACAAAAACTAAGGTGTTAGACTTAAACTCAGAATTACTTCTTCTTATATGTATCTGACAGTTTCTGTGCCTTAATGCTTTCTAAAAGTCTGTCAGTGTTGTACTTCAAGGAAGAAAAAGTTCTCCCCAGAAAGCACAGCTCAGCATTAAAGTGATTTGATACTAAAGTTGTTATAGCGTATTATGTACTATTTCACCTGAAGGACTTTACCTAAAAGCATTTTGTGCTTCATTTGTTCCAGTGCATTTCAAAATTATTTAGTAAATTCCTGTTTTAAAAATGTATTTTTGGCCAGGTGCGGTGGCTCACGTCTGTAATCCCAGCACTTTGGGAGGCCGAGGTGGGCAGATCACAAGGTTAGGAGATCGAGAGCATCCTGGCTAACACGGTGAAACCCCGTCTCTACTAAAAATACAAAAAAAATTAGCTAGGCATGGTGGTGGGCGCCTGTAC